ACAGTAACAATGGACCTTAGTGCAAACCTGTATTGTACATGTACTAAATGATTACGGTACTAAAATTGTTATATCTATTGCAAATATAGCTTGTTTATACAGGTATTCAAATAAATTACTATCTTACAAGAATCCAAGCTATGTAAGTTATATTCACCCAGGTCGTTTGGGTGGCAAATTATGAGAAGAGCTTAGTCACTCTTAAGTAATGATAAATAAACACACAGGCAGGCCTTCAGCGCCAACTGTCAAATCTTATCTCAAATAAATAAACAAACACATGCAGACATTCTGTCACCTCACCTCCCGCCCCCCTCTTCCCACACGCTACTTCCCTCCTTGTGTTCCCAGACAAAAGATTGGTGATTTCTTTATGTTTATTTTATATAATATCTCAGACTAAAGTTAGGATAATATAATTTGCATTGCTGAAATCCTTGCAAGACAGAAATTAATTTAAATATAAGCATCATATGTTTTGCTCAAGATATAAAAAATGTAGTACATTAGTGTACAATACTGTAGTACATTTTATAAAAAGGTTTTCAACTGTATTTTTGGGTAGATTTACTTAAATTTCTTCATTATTTTCATCCATTTACATGCACACACCATACTAAAAGAAACGTAAAAGAAATAAATGACCTTAGCTTAGTGCAAAGCTGGAGTGCACATGTACTAATTTGATTACTGAACTAAAATTGTTATGTCTAGTGCGAATTACAACATGTTTATATTCAAATAAATCAGTATCTTACAAGAATCCCAGCAATGTTAATTATATTCTCCTAGGTCATATCACTGGCATTTTAAAATGAGAGAAGCTTAATAGGACTGTTAAATAAACACACAGAGACATTCGGCTCAAACTTATCACCTCAACCCCCCACCCCTCGCTGACTAGCTGGCTCCGTCAGTCCCTCCCCCCACCCCCAGCCTTTTAGGCTTACAGTTTTTATCTTATATAATATCTCAGACTAAAGTTAGGAGATATTATAATTTGCATTGCTGGAATCCTTGCAAGACAGCCAATAATTTGAATATAAACGTCATATATTTTGCTCAGGAGATAGAAATTGTTGTACATTAGTGTACAGTACTGTAGTACATTTTATAAAAAAGTTTTTCAACTGTATTTTTGGGTAGATTTACATAGATTTCTTCATTTATTTTCATCCATTTACATGCACACACCATACTAAAAGAAACATAATAGAAATAAATGACCTTAGTGCAAAGGTGGAGTGCACATGTACTAATTTGATTACGGTACTAAAATTGTTTTGTCTAGTGCAAATTATAGCATGTTTATATTCAAATTAATCAGTATGTTACAAGAATCCCAGCAATGTTAATTATATTCACCCAGGTCATTTCACTGGCTTTTTATAAGAGAGAAGCTTAGTCACGTAAGAACTGATAAATATACACGCGTTAGACCTGGGCCTGTGCCAACTGTCAAACGTACTACCTCACCTCCCCCCACGCCCCCCTCACTCGCTCCCTCCCTCTCTCTCCCCCATCTGCCCAGCGTTGCTGGAATCCATGTAAAACAGTGAATAATTTTAATATATACGTCATGTATTTTGCACAAGAGATAAAAATTAATCACCTGTATCACATTACAGTTGTGATTTAAGAGTAAAAGTGTATATGTACGTATATAGTATTCCACATACACGTAAGTATAAATACAAAGTTTCTGTGATGATCGGACAACGTCCATTTCGGTTAACGTCATGTTTCCAAGAACGTATCTAATACGTTAATCGGCGCATGACTGTATAGATGAAGCCTTGATCCTGAAAATCGGTTTTTATTACTGAATCAGCGAGGAGTGACCAGGATCTCACCCATGTTTGAGGAACATGGGGGTTATTATTACTGTAAACTTGGTTTACAGCACTTACTGATGATGGGCAATGTATGCTGGGGATAACATGAACTGCATGGCTTCATGACTTTCTCACATTCCCAAGCCTTAGGGCAAACTATGACTTCTAATTTCTTTTTTGAGCAGTGGTTGTCATGGGGCAGTGAGTCTTCTTCAGGATGCTACCCATCATCATGGCCTTACCTTGGGGTTTAGTGGAGACACTCCAAAAAGCTCCGTGGGTGTACATTTTCTCAGGTCACTCTAAACTGTCTCTGATGTAAATTGGTCTTCAGGATCATACCCTCATTTTTTCCGTATGACACCAACAAGATCTAATGATTGTTATGTTTTGAAAAGCAACATCCTTTAGATTCCTTTCATTTTAGAACTTAGGGGTTCAGCTATGTGTTGGAAAGATAAATTATTTTTGTAGTCAAGCTGTTATGATCAGACATGGCTGGTTATCCCAAATCATGAAATGAGATTTAAGGATCAATATCTTAATTTCATCAAGTCACTGCATGTATCTGTTATGTACTGTACTTGTGTTTTTGCAGTAACAATTGATTTGCCATATGATATAAAAGAAAATACTTGTACAGTACCTGCTCTTATCTTGGAAATATCAATAAAGAAAGCTTAACAGAAAATACATCTAATTTATATCATGTGGATATATTTTAGTATATCATGTGGCTATATTTTAGTAAGCCTACAATAAACATGGCTGTTTTTGGTTTCTGCAAAAGAACATAAAGTTTGTGAGATGTGCACTTGCTTAACACTATATACTAGTTTATATACTAATTACATATATTTCCCTTCTTGAACATTTTCTATTAACTTCTATTCTATGAATACTCATAATTGATTTTATTTGTATTTTTTTAAATTTCTACATACCGTATATCTCGGCTTATAAGACGAAATTTGAACATTAAAAAAATTTGCCCAAAGTTAGGGGGTCGTCTTAAGCAACAAATATAAAATTCTTACATCTTAAATATTGTGTCAAGAGTGGTGATGGAAACATCGTAAGCCACTCACAAAGTCCTACCAGTAATTATTTTATACTGAAAATTACGTTTGGCAAGCTGGATTCAAATTAAGATTACCGGTATATTAAAATAATAAAAATGTATTATAAACCTGTCTAACATACCCTGTAATAAACACAGCTATCATCACACACCCCTCCCCACGCCCCCCCCATTTGCCAGTGAGGAGACAAGAAAGGGAAAGTGACCGCGAGATTGGGCTATTTTTAGCCGTGGAGGTGGTCAGTAATGCATACCGGTATCAGTATATTTACTCATAATAATATTTATCTCCTATAAATAATTGATTTAAATTTTATTTTTTTACAAAGAATATTCAGTAAATGACTGCATTAATTCTTGAAACTATCGACGGTTAATTACAGACGCTCAAGTGACGTCACTAGTGTTTACACTACACCAGCGGGTAACATTTGATGCCATTACTTGAAGTGAATTGGCCTTATTTTAAGTAACTAACTATAAATAAATACAAAAATTAAAAAAAAAGATCAAAACTGAGAAATAATATACTGTACGTATAGGAACAATTGAAACTGCAATTGTGTGTAAATGAGGCAGAAAGTATGTATGTATGAATGTGTGTGCGTGTGTGTATGTATGTGTGTGTGTGTGTATGTATGTGTGTGTATATATATATATATATATATATATATATATATATATATATATATATATATATATATATATATATATATATATATATATATATATATATATATATATATATTTGTGTAATAAATGTATGTAGTAAGTACGTAATATTTTTTCACTCAAATCCTAATGAAACACTACTGGAGAACATTCCTTTGTCGCAAAACAGTTTATAAATTTAAGAAAATAATTACAGTGTGTTTAATATATTACAGTATATTATAAATAAATAAATAAACAAATAATTCGGTAAATCTATTTCAAGTAAATGGAAAATAAGCAAACAAATGTTATTTACCAAGACGCTTCCCTCTGGCTCAGGGTGAGATGTAGGGGTAGATAACAAGGCTATTTATAGCCCGTCTTTGTGTCTGAAGTGGCCAGTACCCTAATGCACCATAAATAATTCATTGAACATTCATTTTTTGTACATAGTATATTCAGTACATGACTGCGATTATAAAATAGTGTGAATGAGTATATTAAAAAATATATATACATATACAGTATATATATATATATATATATATATATATATATATATATATATATATATATATATATATATATATATATATATATATATATATATATATATATATATATATAAATATGTTTGTGTAATAAATGTATGTAGTAAGAACATACCGGTAACCTTTTTCACTCAAATCCTAATGAAACACCACCTGTTGTATAAATAGTCGGAACACAGTCACACCACGGAGACGAGGGAACACTCCCACCACCGATCGTCCGTACAAATGAAAGAAAATACTAGCAGTGTGTTTAATACGTTACAATATATTGTAAATAAATAAATAAACAAATAAATCGGTACACTGTAAATCCATTTCAAGTAAATGGAAAAATTTTACTCGACACCGACATTAGTTCCAGTTACCGGTATATAGCAGACGCTTCAGTGACGTCACTAGTGTTTACACTACACCAGCGGGTAACATTTGATGACATTACTTGAAGTGAATTGGCCTTATTTTAAGAAACCAAGGATGGTTGGTAAAGGACTACTGAGTCAGTGGGTAAGTGTCACATTTGGAGTACTGGTCTTATACAGCAAATAGAGCTCAAAAGCTACTTTTTAAATGGAAATTTGGGGGGGCCGTCTTATGCACCCCGATGCCTTATAGGCCGAGATATACGGTAGTATAAACAGATTCATAAATATTATTATTATTATTATGATTATTATTATTATAATAATTTTGCAAGTGGAAATAATATGCCTATAGAGTAATAATATGGATTTTTTCCTCATGTATTTGCAATTCTTTAGTAAGGTTTAAACCTGAGAGAAAGATAGCTCGTGTATGTTCAGGATAAATTATCTTGTGTAAAGTGTGTTTATCTTATTATATATCTGCTCATATATATTTTTTTCCTTTTTTTTACAGGAAGCAACCAACCCACCTAAGGGAGGCCACACTATCAAACCTAATGAACCTCCACGAAAATCTATCAGCAGTTGGTTAGCCAAGTGTTCCATCCTATGATCTCATTTGTGGTGTTTTATAGTCTCATTGTGGACATTCTCTAGCCTGGCCCATCAAGGCTGATTGGTGGCCAAGAAATGTATGAGTAAGTGTGCTTTTCCTGTGATTGTTGCAGCTCTAATGAGGACAAGCTATAGACTTTCCTGCACTCGGATGAAATTTTTCTAAGATCTATTATCAGGCAAGGCAACTGAATTACAGTTCATTACTTCTAATCCAACAGTTGAAGAGCAAACTGTTATTGGCACATACTCAGTAAAATATAATGATAAATAGTTGTTAGAAAGCAATGTGATAATGCAGTCTGATTATTCTTGAGGAGTATGGATGGTATGTTGTAGATTATGACCAACGTTTGAGTAAAATTCCCCGTTCCCACAGTATCTTTAGCAAGTCAGGCACTTCATGTGTTGATATATGTTCATGCTATGCATTCTGTGATTTGTAAAGTTGTCCATATATGTAACCTAGTAACTTTTGTGCTCATAGAATTTAACCAACACTTATTATTTTCACTTCAATTTTAAAGTTGTACTGTACCTCAAAAGTTATGCACACAGCACAATGTCCATCCATGAAGTCATTAAGTGACTGTGCATTAACTGAAGTTTGCTCCTAAGATTCCTTGTATAGTTAAAGACTTTAACCAGTGATCATATTTTTATTTTACTTTGATTTATTCTCATTAGGTATGCTGATTACTGGTAGTTCTTTAAGATGTTTGTACATGGCAATCATATAAACTAGGATGTAAGGTTCCAATAATATATTTCTAAATTTTATTAAAGAAAATAAATGAATCAACTCATCACAAAAGTGTCGTTATGAGTCATGATATATATAACGTTGTGAACATATTGCTTGGATATAATTAGTTTTTAATATCTTAGCAGAAGAGTGTAATGGGACTTCAACAATCTTGTGAGCCTGACAAATACTGATTTTTTTCATGCTCTGGTGCACTGCAGCAGTTTTTCTTGGTGCAGGAGTTACATGTGTGAAGCCCATTGTCTTATGCCAATGCTTTTGCATTGCACAATATACCAATGAAGTTCTTCCTGATTTTTTCTTGTTTTGCAATACTTCCTTTGTTATCAGGTTTTGTTACAGCTTAATTCAAGCTTTTGTGCAGAGCATATTCATTCCACTATTATATGTATTATAGATATTTTCCACATTTTGTACAAAATGTTTTCATAGCAGGTTATAACCTAGGGTGATGTAGTCAAATCTTGCACTTCTGGAAATTTTATAATTCTGAATCTCCTCCCACCCCAGGTTTCCAAAAATAGTGTACAGTAAATTAAAATTATTTTTTCTTTTCTTTTCTTTTAGTACAGTATTTGATTATAGTTTGTGTTTACTACTTTAAACTCTCCTTGTTTCCAAAGTCCATTCCATACAGATATTAAATGAAACGATTTAATGCGAGAAAATATATACAGTCAACCCTCACTTTACGCGGTCCCACATTCCGCGTTTCCACGTTTACGCAGTGCCCTGCCAGAACCCAGGATGCTCACATTCCGCGGTGGGTGTACCCCTTTACACGGGTGAAGTATAATTTTTTTATTTAGCTCATAAAATTCATACAAATTATCAGGCCAGAATATAATTTACATTGCTGGAATTCTTACAATTTGATGATCATTTTGAATATAAACATCATAGATTTTGCATTAGACATACAAATTTTAGATATAATGTTTACTCTGAGTAAATATGTTATCTTTTGTGCAAAATATATGACATTTATATTCAAAATATTCCTGGTCTTACAAGGAATCCAGCAATTTCTCAGAGGGAAGAGCCAGCAAGTGTACTGTGACAAGAGGGGGAGGGAGTCGAGTTCATTATTTGAATGGACATTAACTTGGTGACTGTATTCCTCTATTTCTCTTAAGTATTAATTGTGTGCATGTACCATCATAAAATTAAGATGTTATTTTTACTAGAACATAGGTATTGTGTCGGAAAAAGTGGAGTTTGGGGGTCAGCTGGTCTCTATTTCATTTAATCCCATATGTTATGTTATTCACTTTACACGTTTCTCACTTTCCGCGGTACCCTGTGGGTTACATTAACCGCGTAAAGTGAGGGTTGACTGTACAGTATAGTCTGGATTTATGCGGTTTTTTGTTTACGCGTTTGGTCATATACGCGGTGCCTTCAGTATAAAATGTTTTAATTGCGCGGTAAATTTCATCATTTATGTGGCGAGCGGCTGGAGAGGTCCAGACGCGCCGCGCCATTTTTTACTCACGCGGACCATTCTTGACCATACGCAGGAAGCAGCGCGGTGAGGGGTGCGCATTAGGTCGCTCGTATGTTATCGTTGACGTCATATGACGTATCGGACTGTGATTGGGCCACGCATCCTTACCACCCACGCATTCCCTCCGCCGCTAGCTGTGATTGGTCTAATGTAACATGACGTGCCTTGCCACCAGAAGTCGCTGACCTAGCCGGGCCAGTCTCATTGTTCCCAGTCCGAATATACAGTTCTCTCTTGTGCCCGCTATTCCCCTCACAATGGCTTCCGCTGGACCCCCACCACCCCAGAAAAACCTTGAATTACCTGAACCAAGCCATGATTATGTGAAGGAAATCATCGAGTTGGGGGAGAAAATTAAGGAATCCAGCAATGTCAATTGTATTATCCTAACTTTAGTTTGAGGTATTATTTATTAAAATTTAGTGGTTTTCCCCAAAAATTTCTCAGAGAGGGAAGAGCCAGCAGTGTAGTGTGAGAAGAGGGGGAGGGAGTTGAGTCCATTATTTGAATGGACATTAACTTGGCGACTGTATTTCTCTATTTCTCTTAAGTATTAATTGTGTGCATGTACCATCATAAAATTAAGATGTTATTTTACTACAACATAGTTATGTGTCTTCAAAAAGTGGAGTTTGGGGTCACGGGTTTCTATTGAATTAATCCCATATGTTCTGCTGTTCACTTCTTAACGCTGTGGGTTTTCATTTAACACCGTACCTCTGGGCTTTTATTGACCAAGCAAGTAAGGGGTGCAACTGTGTGTGCGTGTGTGTGTGTGTGTGTGTGTGTGTATATATATATATATATATATATATATATATATATATATATATATATATTATATATATATATTTATTTTTATATATATATATATATATATATATATTTATATATATATATATATATATATATATATATATATATATATATATATATATATATATATATATTTTTATATATATTTGCCTTGCGTCTCTTAATTTGCTTGTATCCAGGTTCTGGCGTAACCAAACAAAAAAGTGAAGTAAATTAAAGAGAATAAAATAAATAAAGTAAAACCTTTAAAATTTAATTGATTAAGTAGTATTTAACTTTAAATAAAAGTACCATTAGTACTGTCACAACAAATTGATTCACCATGAGCTTTTAAGACAAGTGATACAAAACCTTCGAAACCTCAAAAGAATAAAAAGCATTGGTTACATTTAACACTGCATAAACATATAAAAACTATCACTGAAATTAGCTAAGCGTGAAGCAGCACTGGAGTACTTTGGATACAGCTAAGCAAATACTGGTGGACACAAACAGAGACATAAATAGGTACTCACATATAGATAAACCATTGGTGACAGGAACAACACAAATAAATTAAGTTTAAGTAACAAGTGACACACAAAGGATGTGTACTGTATGACAAGAGGACTGAACTCCAAGTCAGTTGGTGGAGTCCTATATATAAGATTAAAACTCCATACGCTGACGCCCGATTGGGTGGATTTTAGCGATGCAGATAGTGGTTAGAAGGCAAAGGAAATATGATTTCGTACCGTAAAGAAATAAGATGGGCTTGAACAAATAATGACAGTTAAAACCTTAACAGCACAGGGTAAGGTGACTAGAATATATAATAGTAAATTTAACACATCATTACAGGAATACTATGGAACATGGGAGCATGTTATATATAAAAAAAAAGAAAAAATACGACACGGTCGTAACACTTCCCCCCATAAAATAAAATTTTGCTTGCACAAATTTTGATATGACAAGTGTTCCGACACCTTGAAGTCCAACAAAAAAAATTACCCTTCTTCAACAAATCAGTAAGGGGTAGTGCCAACTCGGCAAAAATACAAATATGTCTGGTAATAACCCACACAACCCAAAAATCTGCGTACTTGTCGTTTGTTACATGGAACAGGCATCTAAGAAATAGTGTCACACCTTGCTGTGGGAGGAGCAAGTTTCCAACCCAATTACATGTCTCAGATACAAAAGTTAGGCAAACAAATTCTGACTTAGCAAAGTTTATAACAAACAAGTCCTACATTTCCTAACTCAGTGAAGAGAGCGTCTAGCTGACATACTGTAAATGGTCTAACCAAGTGCCAGAAACAAAAATTACATCTAAATATACTACACAACCAAGCCAATTGGCCGTGACATCAGCCTTTGTAAGGTAGCAGGGGCATTGCAAAGCCCAAAAGGAATAACATTAAATTTATAGTTCTTACCTAATGTCACAAAACTGGATATGTTTTTAACACAATCGGTCAAGTACTTGCCAAAACCCTCGAAGGCAATCAATCTTAGAGAGGAACTTAGCGTTCCCGATTGCTTCGATGCAGTCGTCGACTCTTGGTAGAGGGAAGCTGTCCTTGTTGGTGACGGCGTTGACCGTGAGGAAGTCAATGCAGAATCGAAGAGTGCCGTCCTTCTTTGGTACTAGAGTGACTGGTGAGCACCACTCGCTGGTAGGGAGCCTGCTTGATAGGCTTAGCAGAACCAACAACAACATCATGCACCACGGCAGTGGTACAGCCAGGCTGGTCTTGGAAGACAAGAGGATGTTGTTGGATGGCGGTCAGCACGTCAGCTCTCTGGTGTCCCGGTAGACGATGTAGCTTCCCCTGCAATTCCACGGAGTTGAGCTGCCAAACCCTGACTGATGACAGGGCGAGTGGACTTGCCCCTTTTCTTTCCTCTTCTTTCTCATCGTCTACCAAGAAAGTGTCAACGGCACACACGGGAACTGGATCATCAGCAACAAATGGGGGTGCTGGGCGTGTGTGGTACAGCTTGATGGTGTTGACGTGACATAAGCACTGTAGTCGGCGCCTGTCAGGGGTAGAGATAGTATAATTCGTGGGGCTTACCTTCTTCACCACTCTACATGGCCCACTGAACTTCGCATGGAGCGGCTGTCCATGTCTCGGCAAGAGATTGAGTACTTGATCTATCTGGAACTCTGTGTCTGGCATGCTTGTCGTACCATGTCTTGGTCTTGGACTGCGACTGCTGTAAATGGTCTGCGGCAAGGCTCCAACAACTTAGAAGCTCCTCTTTAACATCTCCAACTAAACTTAATACCTTAACGCTCTCTTCACTACTACCTAACAATCTATCTCTAGCTATGTGCAAAGGACCTCTTACTGGATGAGCGAACAGTAGAAGCAAGAGAAACAAAATGGATGATATTAGGGCCCTAGCAGCAACTTTCCTAAGAGGTACAGCATGCAAGTACCTAGTGGAGGCATGAATGACTGTAAATAAATATTTAAACCCACTAGAAGTTTTAGGCAGAGGGCCTACAATGTCACACTGTACTGTTGTAAAGGGCTCAGGTACGTGAGGTACTCTTACAAGTGGAAAAGGTGGAATAGCCTGATTGGCTTTGCCTACCTCTTGACAAAAATGACAGTACTTACAATATTTAGTGACATCTCTCCTCATACCTGGCCAATAGAACCTTCTGGCCAGCCTGTTGAACGTCTTTCGGACACCTTGATGTCCAGAAAAGCGACCGTCATGGGCCAGAGCTAGAACATGTTGTCTGTAAGTGTGTGGGATAACTATTTGAGTGACAGACGCCCAGTCCGCGTCTTCCTCTGACATAGTCGGTGGGAGCCAGCGGCGGCACAAAACACCGTCTTGACTGAAATATCTCGTGGTAGGGCCTGAATCAAACAAGAGCCGCAATGAATCGTCTTGCTCTTGCGCAGCTATTAAAGCAACTCTCCCGGTCACAGCATTAACTGCGGAAGAAATGTCTTGGGA